TAATTTGCTAAGTGTGGGACAACTACAAGAGAAGGGGCTTACAATTCTCATACAACGTGGGAAATGTAAGATTTATCATCCTGAGAGAGGATTAATCATGGTAACTGCAATGTCCTCAAACAGAATGTTCATCTTACCTACTCAGAAACATCTAAAAGAAGAAATATGCTTTTCTTCCCTTACAGAGGATCAAGCTCGGCTTTGGCACTTTAGATATGGACATTTAAGCTCTAATGGCTTGAAAACTCTTCAGCAGAAAAGAATGGTGACTGGACTGCCATAATTTCAAGCTCTTTCGAAGTTGTGTGAAGACTGTTTGGTAGGAAAACAATGAAGATATCCATTTCCAAAATAGAGCACATGGAAGGCTTCTCAAATTCTTGAACTAGTGCATGCCTACATCTATGGCCCAATCAACCCCACTTTATATAGCAAGAAAAGGTACCTGATCACTTTCATTGATGATTTTAGCCGCAAAACTTGGGTTTTTCTTAGTAGAGAAGTCAGAAGCTTTCATCACTTTCAAGAATTATAAGAGTCGTGTTGAGAAAGAAACTGGTTCATATATAAGATGCCTTTGCATTGATAGTGAAGGTGAATTCACATCACACGAGTTCACAAATTTTTGCAAGGAAAATGGCATACATAGAAAATTGACGGCAATATGCTCTACAACAGAATGGTATTGTAGAGAGAAAGAACCAAACTATTATAAATATGGTTCGAAGCATGCTTTCAGGAAGAAAAATTCCAAAAACTTTATGGCCTAAAGCAGTCAATTGGGTTGTCTATGTTCTAAATAGAAGTCCAACTATGGCAGTAAAAAACATGACTCCAGAAGAAGCTTGGAGTGGATCTAAACCATTAGTTGATCACTTCAGGGTGTTTGGCTACATATCACATGTTCATATTCTTGATAGTAAAAAGACTAAGCTTGATGACAAGAGTGTGAGATGTGTTCTACTTGGAGTTAGTGAGGAGCTAAAGGCATATAGATTATATGATCTAGTCTCTCAGAAGATAATAGTAAGTAGAGATGTGAAGTTTGAAGAAGAAAACAGTCGGGACAAGAGTCATGATGAAGCCATTATAGCTGATTTGGACTGGGGAGAAAATGACAAAGAAGCGGTCCTAATTGATATCAATAGAGGAAACAGAGGAAACATCGAAGCTGATCACCATGACAATATAACAACTAATGTACGGCTGCGTGTTTGGTTTAATATTTTTATCCCTATTCTAGATCCTATTTTTTAAATAGCGTTTGTAAATTATTCTCAAAATATTACTCTATTTTTTTATTACATTTTAACCTCATAGGGTTATTAATTTCACTAAATACCCCCTAAAAAAAAAGTTTAAAATTAACAAAAACACCCCCATCAACCCACTTGTCAGATTTCCGGCAACCACCGTCGGTGATAGCCGGAATCTGTACAACGGCCAAACTTCCGATCAGAATGGCCGGAAGTTCACCGCTGTGGTCTTTTCCGGCCAGATCCACCACGGATCTGGCCGGAAAACTGGCCAGATCTGGCGTCCGCGACGGCCAAAGAAATGGTCGTCGTTTGGCCTTTTCCCGCCGTCGACGGCCAAACAAACCGTATGATCTGGCCTTTTCCCGGCCAGATCCACCATGGATCTAGCCGGAAGGCCATAACGACCGTGTTACGGCACAGATCCGACAAGTCTGTGCCGTAACGAAATTTCCAGCCAGATTCCGGCGGTGTGTGGCCGGAACTGACAACTGCAATGCAGAGATGGTGGGTGTTTTTGTCATTTTACATGTTAGGGTCTTTAGTTAAATTAGTAAACCTAAGGCCTTTTTTATAAATTTTTTAAATTTTACTTCGTAATACTCCCCATAACCAATCCCCATACTATCCCTAAAATCCTAGACCAAATCCTAAACCAACGCACCCTACATTACGAATTTGTGATATGATCATGTTGCAGTTTTTGTTTTTGTCTCTCTTCTTCCTGAAAAAAATTACCATGTTTTAATAACTGGTCGATGGTTGTAATCGATGACGTCCATTCAGCATGAAAATTAAAAAAATAAATAAATAAACCCTTCCTTCCACATCTACTTCGCCCATCATTTCTTTCCCGAACTCTTCATCATCTTCAATCCATTAATCCATTTTTTGATGAAATCCCCAAATCGATCAATCAAATCTCTTCCACACAATCCCCAAATTAGCATCAGTTTCTTCAATCAACCCACAAATATTACCCCAAATCAATTTCTTTCTCGTTTCATTTAATGGCAGACCAACTTTCGTGAAGCATCACTATATGTTTAAAAGATTTACAGAAGTTTTCCCACCCAAATAAATGTTTAAATACATTTTTCCACTCCAACATTTTAAAATATTATTTTTAGCTACTCAAATTTTATATTCCAGTCACAAATAGATACTTATAAGAGGGCAACTCAGTCAGGATCATTAATAGTTCTTTAAAGAGGATGGGGGAATGAAAGACGATGAAGTCTTGTTTGGATTTGATTTTGAGATTTCAGATTGATCGGAAATTAATTTGGTGAAGGGTAGCAACTAAGCAAACCCTAATCGGCTCAACTTACACGAGAGCATATTGACAGGGTCAACGGAGATAGAAGGCTATTAGGGGTTAATTGTGTAGTTGATCCTAAAGTCAGATAGAGAAGTTGGTATGGGAATCCAATGGATACCAAACAGATTAGGAGTCAAATTAACGGAGTATAAATTGGGTAAAATGATTAGAAGGTTCATTTGGTAATTTAATAAGCCATATGTTGGTAGGAAAAAGTGTCATAGAACAATTATACTGGGATACATCAATTTTTCAATTTAGTAAATATAAAGATATAGGAAAAAAATATATTTAATTGCTTGTTTGTAGGAGCATTATTTCTGAGTTTAGATAGATGTCCTTCATGCCGAACAACCCTGACTCTTATTTTCTTTTCCTTTTCCTATACTTAATAATACCAATAAATTGAATATTTCCATATCATTTTTATAATATTAAGAGATTTTTTGTTTTGTTTTTTTTTTCTTATCCTTAAAATAAAATAAATCATAATTTGATCTGCCACCGGTGCCAAAATAAACCTTTCTTGGTCAGGCACCTAAATATGTAGGCCGTTGGTAGATCACAGCTAATCACGCCAGATTGTTTTGCTATAGCAATACCTTTAAAGTGTTGGGCCCCTTTGTTATATTATTTTTTTGCCCTATCCTACCCAAACTGCATATTTTTTCTGCTCTATTCCCAAATCATCAATCCTACTAATCAACTATTTTTAAACCCCCTGGTTTGTTAATTTAACTAACACAAACCCCCACAAAAAGTTTTATAAATTAACAAAACACCCCCATCCATTTATATTGCTAGATTCCGACCACCAATGCTAAGCAAGTGGTCAAACAAAAAAATTGTGCATAATGGCGCCTATCGGCTAGATCTAGCTAGTAGTGCACTGAGCTTACCTTTTCAGCAATCCACCATGGCTCGATAGCTGGAACAAGATATATCTATTTCCGGCCAGATCCACCACCAAAGTATCTGGTTGTTTGACGGCCAATCTATCCTATGATATGTTAGAAAGGCCTCCATCAACAGCCCATCTCTAGATACCAGCCGGGGGGGGCCGGCCGTTCGTTCTTGACGCGCATTCACGTCAGATTATCCACGCTCCCGCAGTGTGCCAAAATCGTGCAATTGGTGGTTGAGGTGTTTTTTGTGTATTTATAAACTTTTTTATATGGTGGGTGTTGGCTTCAAATTAACAAACCTATGGTTGTTTTGTTAATTCAAATTCTACGCTTGTAATAAAACCAGACTTAACTTTTTCAAAAATATTACTCCAAAAACTAATAAACACACACGCCGTTACTGTTTTGATTTGTTTTTAAGTAGTTTGTTATTGATTTGTTTGTATACTTATGTGTATAGGGACCGTGGCTAGTTAGTTTGATCTATTCTTTAGTCATTTGTACCACGCTTTTACGGATATTGTTAAATGTGGGTTGCATTCAATTATGTTTTAGGTTAAAAATGCTTTGTAGGCTATTAGACTAGGCAAGTTGTTATATAATTTAACAGATATGTCTGGAAATGCTGTGCTGCCTCTTACCATGCGTGTCGAAGAAACGAAGTAGAGAAACTTGGTACCGGAGCACATTAGCTAACACTGCAGTTCAACCTGGTGCTATGAATGAGAATAGAATCTTCAGATGGAAGCAGCTTTCTGTTTTCTTTATTTAAGTATTTGAGTTTTATAACCATTGCCAGGTAACTCCAAATATTTTGCAAATTGTAACAAATATAGCGATATGTTGGACCTTACATAAAGTACTGATTTTTTGGAAGGTGGTTGGAACTTGGAAAACACTGCAGGATTGAACCATCCTTTCACCAATTCTTTTATGATTTAACCTTTGAAATATATTTGATGATTATTTTTTATCCTTTGAACAGATATGAAATTAGAATTCATGTCCATTCTTAATATATTGTTGGAAGCTGAACTTGTGACAAATACTTGTTCTATAAAAACAAGCCAACCTTAAATTTTTAGTGGATCTCAAACAAATGATTTGGCTAGATGGGCCTTCTGTACAAGTATATTTCCAGTACCCAATTCTGCAAACTTCTATACTTAATGCTTATCGTAGAAATGTGCTAATTTGCCTGCTAAAATCACTTAGTTATATATTGGAAGAAAAAATAATTTAATGGAACAATTATTCAATATAATTAGATCATGGGCTGATTATCATACAGAGAAGAGCACAATATTTTTTTCATGTTTATAAATTAAAAGGAAAATTTCATCTCATGTATGATGTATGAATCTTTAATTCTGTAAGTCTTTGTAAATATATTAATTTCATGAGCATCCTATCATAATAATGAGAAAATATTACTTATAGCATATACAAACAATCGATGTCATGTTAGCAAATGTTTTAGAAAAAAATAAAAATAAAAATCAATGATCTTTTTAACTGTTAAACTCCAAACCCTAACTAATACAATTGACAAGTCTTTCCCTCTCTTGTTGTTTCATACAACTTCAATCTTCTTATCAGCATCAAAACTTCAATTTTCCCAAAAAAAAAAGAACTAACAAACCCATTTCTCCAAGACCTTAAAATGGCTCTAAGAATCAATTTTTTGCCCCCAAACACCATCCCAAAGTCTCAAAACTTCCAGCCCCAATTGGCCAAACCCAAAATCCAGATGCTATGCACCAAGAACAACCTCAGTGATGCGGAGCTGGCATCAGATTTGGCAACAGAAGTGGCAAAGATGAACACCCATTTGGTACAAAAAGAAGAAGCCATGAAGAAAAGCAAAGAATTGCTGTTCACTGAGTTTTGCCAGTACTTGGGTCTGAAAGAAGAGGATGCGAGGAAGAAATGGAGGAAAATTAAGGAAGAGGAGAAGTGGGATTTGGTTGAAGGGTTTGTTAGTGAATGGAGTGTGAATTTTCATCCTTTATCTGCAAGGTCGGTGAAGGAACTGCTTCAAGAGTATTTGCATCAAGTTGAAGAAAAGCCATTTACAAGTTCTGGTAATGTTTTTAAGAGAATTTTAGGGTTTTCAGAAGATTAGGGTTTGGAGAGTATTATATTTTATATGAGGATTAATGAGTTTACAATTGGATTGATGTCATGTCAACTATTCTATCTAATAATAATAATTACATTACTGAATTTGTGATACGATCATGTTGCAGCTTTTGTTTTTGTCTCTGTCTTCCTGATAAAAGATTACCAATGTTTTAATAACTGGTCGATGGGTTGAATCGATGACGTCATTCAGCATGAAAATTAAAAAAATAAATAAATAAACCCTTCCTTCCGCATCTACTTCACCCTTCTTTCCTTCAGCACTCATTCTTTCTCTCACACACACAAAAACACAAATACAAGAGAGCTTCGAACTCTTCATCATCTTCAATCACATTAATCAATTTCTTTGATGAAATCTACAAATCGATTAATCAAATCTCTTCCACCAAATCCACAAATTAGTCAATCAGTTTCTTCAATCAAACCCACAAATCGATTACCCCAAATCAATTTCTTCATCGTTCTTAACACCCAAAACACAAATAGATTTCTTCAATCAAACCGAAGATGTATTGATTGAACACTTAGATACCATCTATCAATTCCACAACCAACAAAAAAAAAATATTAACGTTGGGTAGGCTGCAGAGATCTGACTAGCCAGAGAGTGCAGGCGACTGGCCAGAATTGGTCGCAGCAAGGCCCTCCGCCGGCTGACTAGCTTTGGCCGCCGAAACACCTTTACTGATGAGGGCCAAAGAAAGAAGATAGACAAGAGGAGGAGAGAAGAAGAGAGAGGAGGGAAAGACGAAAGAATGATGCAAGAAGAAGATTGAGATGAGATTGACCGCGAAATGAGATTTGAAGGATGCGAATGAGATTGAATGCGAAATGAAGATTGAAAGAATGATGCAAGCAAATTGAAATGATATTGAATGCGTATGCGAAATGAAGATTGAAGATTCGAATACAAAATTGCAAATGCGAATATGGGTTTTTTTAATTGAAAAATGTTATACTTACAAAGACCTATACAAATAGGGTTACAAAGTGACATTATCCAGAAGAAAAAACAAAGAAAAAACGGAAAAAGAAAGAGAGAGAAATTATGAAAATTAAGGGTGGGGATTGTCTTTGTATGTCCTCTTTGTATGTGTCTTTGTAAAACTAGCATTACTCTTTTTTATTTGGGGTTTACTATTAGAATTGGGGAAGGGAAATAAGAGTTCATCTGATTTTGGGTTAAAACTGGTTGGATTAGTGGTTCGCTACAGTAACCCCAGTCCAACCGCAGGTCAAACTGGGTGAACCGTTATCCTCGATTTTTCACCTTGACCGTCCCGGCTCAGTGGCCAGTTCTTGTTCCAACCGATTAAACTGGTCAAGCCAACCCGGGTTTTAAAACATTGAAAATTACTTGTTATTAAAAGATATATAACTAAAAATAAATCAATTTCATTAATAAGCAAGACCAAATTTTGAAGATCATAATGTTTTAAAGAGTTCACAACTTTTTCCCACCCAAATAATGTTTTAATAACATTTTTTCATCCACAAACTTTTAAAATATTATTTTACTACTCAAATTTATATTCCAGCAGCAAACAGACTATAGAGAGCAAACTCAGTCTAGGATATTGGGGTTTTTGAAGAGGAGATGCCGATGAGTCTTTTGGATTGGATTTTAAAGGTTAGGATTGATCAGAATTTGACTTGGGAGGGGCAACTATGCAAACCCTAATCGTTCAATTGCCGGCGATTGACAGGGTCAGCCGGAGTAGAGCTTGAGGGGTTTTGGTGAGTGATAATCAGGGAAGAGAATGGTGGTGATATGGCATCGCAATGATACCAGAATTAGAGATGGAGTATAAATTTGGGTAATAAAATGATATTTTAAAAGTTTGTGGGTGAGAAATTGTCATTAAGCCATTATTTGGGTGGAAAAAGTCGTTTACTTTATTTTAAATGATATAGGACAAAAAAATATATTTAATTTGTTGTTTGGAGGAGAATTTAGATAGATGTCTCTTCATGCGAACCAACCCTAATCTTATTTTCTTTTCCTTTTCCTATACTTAAATACAAATAAAATTGAATATTTCCTCTTCATTTTTATAATGATTTAAAAGTTTTTTTTTTTTNGAGCATATTATATAAGTGCTTATAAATCATGCATATATGACATAATATTCAAAAATCACATACAAGGGTGAATCATCAATTTTTTTTTTTTTTAAAAACATGATTCAAAAACTGACAGTTTAACCCAGATCTAGAATTTCTTCAACAACCCATCAGAATGGCACGTCCGATGCCACTCTTGTGTAGGTATCACTTTCATACTATAAAACACTCAAATTTTTTTGACATATATATAAAAGAAACCATTAATCCCAAGGAATGTCATACAATCATAAATGAGAAGTACTTTCTTTGACTTCCAAGACTCACTATTTCATACTTCCTATAAAATATTACTCAATACGGAATACACTTCCTCCCAAGTTACCTTAAATTCCAACACTTTTTAAACACAAACCAATCAATTTTCCAAAGGTATTCCAAATAAGTGCGTAATGTATTACCCAGCAAGCATTTCAATTAAAACGCAACCCAAGCACAATTCCCACCTACTGCCCAGCCAAATGCAAGTATATATATACACACATAGACTTCCAGCAACCATTTCAATAAATAAAAAGACAGCCGAGACATGCAAGCCAGGACTGCCCCATTATCACCCAAAAACAAGTCAGATTATTGCATAACAAGACACCCAATTTTCCAGTTTTCCACCAATGTTTTTGGCTAAGATCAACCAACATGCAAGCTTCTCTTTTTGTTCAGCTGACACATGCAATTCAAATTAGCATAAAGTATTGGATAAGTTCCTATGGAGTTTCATTTTAAACTCGTTTAAAATAATTCCACCCATGATGAAGGGACGTGAGAAGTGGAAACTGCAAAGGCAGTTTCTCACGAACCGCTCCCATATAAAAGGAAAACTTTTTCTTTTAGAAGAAGTTACTCATTGTCACTCTCAAAAAAATACACAAAGAAAAATACGCTCTCTCTCTCTAGAATTTGGAAAACAGAAATACACTTCGTGGTTTTCTTCAAAATTAAATTTGTTGCTTCAAAGAAAAGGAAAAAAGATATTTATACTGTGTTAATTCATTGTAGTTCATTTATATACAAATGTGATTGCAATGGTGACTATGATCTTGGGATTATGTTAGGATATATGTTATTCTATGTTATTTCCAACATTGGTATCAGAGCCGTGGTTCATATAGTTTTAAATTCATACTGTTAATGTTGAAGCATGTTATTGGTTTATCAAATGCAGTTCTGATTTTTTCAAATTTTGTACGTAAAAAATTGTCTTTCTGATAATGATAATTAGACTATTAAATTCCTTATGAAATTATGAAGAAAATGGTTTTTGAATCATAAAAAATGGAGTTAAAATGACTTAGATATGCCTCTTTGAAGTTTCGGGTTTCGTATGGGTTAATTTCCGGGTCGGGTACCCAGTTATAGACCCGAACAAAGGTTGAAGACGACAAGAACCGACATGTCGTTTTTGAACCAACCTTATGAATGACATGTCGTTTTTCCTGTTTTACTTCTTTTTGAAAAAAAAAATTCAAATCAGCGTGGTTGCTGCGACTTGAACCCAAGTCTCCATGGTTGAAGCCCAATTCCCTAACCACGGGGCTAATTTTGTTTTGTGTTAACTATATTCACAAACCCAATATATTCCTATCCGGCCCAACCCATAACCAAAATATGGGTCAAGTTGACCTGTGGACCCGACCCATATGACCAAACGGGTTAGTCAAACTCGGTAATTAGTCAAACCCGACCCATAAGATCAAACGGGTCAGTCAAACGCGGTCAACGGCTGACCCGTAAGACCAAACGGGTCAGTCAAACTCGGTCAACACCCGACCCGTAAAGTCAAACAAGTCAGACGGGTCAAACTCGGGTTGGTACTTTAGGGCGTGTGGAAGCTCCCTGTCGGTGCTTGAAGGCGCGTGGCCGCTTCTAGGCGGCGCGTGGAAGCTCCTACAGATGCGTAAGGGCGCGTGAAATATTCTAAATTTTTTTTTCTTTTGCTGTAAAGAATAAAAATAAATGCATACTTGGTATATTGTTATGAGTCTAATTTTGTTATTGAACCATAAACAAGTATATATATTATTTATCAAATATAGTCAACCTTTATTTGATAAATAAATAGTTTTTTTTTTTTTTTGTATTTGTTACAGAAAAATGTTACGTTATAGACGTGCAATGGTTGCTAGAACACCCGCTCAAAGGGAAAGGGTTATGAACATGATTAGAACTCTACAAACTCACACATTGATTTTAAGAGACACAGAGGTTGAGTTGGTGCAACTCGTAAATCATTTCATTCATGTGAATGAAAAGATTCAGGAAATTGTCTGGATAGGGGGATTAAAGGAAGATGAGTCGAAATTCCAAGTTCTAAGAGAGACTCTTGGTTACCCTAATCTCGTTGGTCTCCTTGATATGGTTTGGACCAAGCTGAAAGTTCATAACTTTAAAGATGACAATAAAAATTATAGACGTTTGGTCAACAACTATATCAAGGAGTACATAGATTGGGGTGCAAAAAGGACAGCTGGGGCATCTATAGGAGTCTCCACTCGTAAAGGACATCACAAGAAACTGGGAGTTCCCCTACCTAGGGTTAATTACAAGTTAGATAAAGACCTTAGGATAAGGATTATCAGATCCTTCCCAGTTTTAGGAATGTGGCTGTACACTTAATTTTTTTTTTTTTTTTTTTTTTTTGTTGTTTTGGAATTTGTTTGTTTTAATTTTATTACAAGTTGAATTCTATTTACATAATGTAATTAATTTTGTTTATTAAAATTTAAAATTTTATGTGAATTGATGTTGATTTATATTTATATAATTGTGTCTAAATATATTTTTAGAATTGCAATTAATTATATCTATGATAATTGGAAATTGGAAATTTTGGATGATGATTGTTGACATTGTTAACTTTTGATTCCAAATCTAATATACAATTATTATTGGTATAATTAATTAAATGAATATGTATGTTTCGAGCATTGAATAACATGCATTATCCAACGTGTAAT